AGTCCTTAAATTGGTGATCATGCTCATCCTCGTTATTGAACATGATTTTCTTGATCGCTTATGTACGCGATGCATGGTGGCGCGATAATCGACTTCCTGCGCGCGAGTAAAACCTACGAAGCAATAGGGGTGTCTCGACCGGTCGTGTTTATCTCCGAAGACAGTAATGACCAAGTCTGCTGCCAATGATATGATTTATCCCGTAAGCTCCGATCTACGGAGTCGTCGTTTTTCATTCTACGAAGCTCCGTTCAAAGAGCATCGTTGCATTGTTTCTCTCGGTTCACTGAAGCCTGATAAATATTTCTGTTACAGTAAATCAAGCTAGTAAGTACGTTGACTAAACGTGTACAGTTTGCGGAAAATTAGCTTAGGAGAACTTAGGCGCCGCGGAAAGTAAATCTGTGGAAATTTATAAAGTTTTAAATTTAGAAATTTGGTTAGCCTAACGTCTCTGTTTATTGCTCTCCTTTCATTTCCCGCCCGTTCAAGATATCTCGTTTGTAGAAACGAGCGCGTGTTAGTCTCGAGGTCGAACTGACGTGTCGAGTGAACATTCTGAATGCGTTGTGTGTCGTTCATGGTGATTTCCGGTTTGCAAGAAGAAAGGATACGGTGCGAAGATCGCGTTCTTCTCGGCTGTGTTTTTATCCTTGAACCTTTAGCCTTTTACCCTTGTACAAGACAGGGCAATAAAGTTCTTTGCGATGTTCTCTTGAAATTGTTTTCATAAATATACTCGGCTTAACTCTCCGCTAAATAGTCTCAAAACAGTATCATTTTTAGGTTATATTGACGAAGTTCGCGTTACTCGTTGAAAAAGAATTTTCATTTTGAAGTAGTACAAATTTAATATTTCTTATGGCTACTGTAAAAGGAATCGTTTTACCTATTCAGTCTTTACCATTTAGGAAAAAGTGATGTAACGCTATGTCGTACATAATCGCTCATAATCATAATCGTTAATATGTCTTCAGAGATCACATTGTTGCTTAAGAAACGTGATTCGTATGCATGAATTCTTCAATGACATGTATTAAGACTATTTTTGGATAAATCATATAATCCTCTTAATAGTTTCGTTATCATAAATTTGCTTAGTTCAAGGACGACTTATAGACGGAACTAGTTCGAGGCCTTATAAAATCTTGTCTTAAATATTTTGACTAAAAGTTAACATATAGTACTTTAAAAATAAGGCACAGTTACATTTAGCAAAGCTTTGTAATTACACATCTCTATTCTATGAAAATAGCTTGTTCAAATTTCCCGCCAAATTGGAATACAGTACATAGCCTCTCCTCTCGTGGTCATCTCGCAATAGTTACGTTTCTAATGTTTCTGTGCTGATGAAAAAGACATATATTTACTGTAGGTGTAAAATACAAAAGCAGACTTGTTGGAAAAGTGACGAAGATCGAAAATATCCTTGAACGTGACACTGCACTGCGCATTTTTCCATGAATTTGCTCGCGATCAGTGTTAACATAGCAAAGAGTAATCGGTCGTTAAGAAATCGAGTTCGACGCGTTGCAATATTCATGTCGATTTGAAAATTTCAAATGTTGATGTAACAATACATACTCGGTTAGATTATGCGTTAAGAATTATATAATGAGACGCAATCTGATGAATACGTTCAGTGACTAATTCCGTTAAGATACAGATCCAAGGTTCTAGGAGTATCGGTAAAAAAGCAAGACTCGACCGTGCAACTGTATTGAGCTTTATGGTAATCGAAGGTGACATAACCTTTCTTTCAAGTAGAAACATTCTTAACGAAGACACAATTCGATATTAAATTTTCCGATCTTACCGAGAGATTAGAAGTTAAATTAATATTAATTTAATTACTAGTTAGTTAATACTGAACATATGTTGTATACATTATACGTAATTGTTCTCGCAATTTCCTTTTCCGTATGTACAGCAAAAAGGAGGGAAATTCAAGATCCATTAATAATGAAGCTAAGGCGCTAAAACAGGTGTTTGCTGTTACAAGATACAAAACATGAATTCTGATATCAAAAGACTTGCATCCTTTGAACTTGAACTTAGGATTTATTCTGTTGCAATTAACGATGCTGCGATGCTGACAGTCCCCCGTGCGGAAGTGGTAGGTTCACGCGTTGTTGGTTTTATTGGATCTTCCGGTGTGCGTGCCGCACTCAAGTTACCTCGGTGTTAACATCAGGGTGACTATCTGGTTAACGCGGCTCATTCTGCATTTCGTTCGCTCTTTCCCACATTTATAAATGGCACGTGAGCATTTTAATTCATAAAACCGTTTTAAATGTTTTACGTAGACTTTATGGCCATTTTTTTTAACTTTGGGGTCTGAGGATTGGGATATTTAGGAATTTGGGGAATTGGGGATTTGGGATTTAGGGGATATGGAGGATTTGGAGGATTTGGGATTGGGAGATTTGGGGAATTGGGAATTTGGGATTTGGAGGATTTGGGATTGGGGGATTTGAGATTTGGAGGATTTAGGATTTGGGATTTGGGAGATTTGGGGAATTAGGGGTTCGGGGGATTTGAAATTTGGGAGATTTGGGGAATTCGGGGGATTTGGGTTTCGGGGGATTTGGAATTCGGGGGATTTGGGATTTGGGGGATTTGGGATTCGGGGGATTTGGAATTCGGGGGATTTGGGATTTGGGGAGCTTGGAATTTGGGGAGTTTGGGATTTGGGGAGCTTGGGATTTGGGGAGTTTGGG